GTATTAATATATTTTCTAACAAATATCCGATCCCGTTGTTAAAATTGGTCCAGTTACAATTACCACGGCTGGTGGTAGAAAAGAAATAGTTCATGGTTGTGTTTGTTGTTTTCGCTTTTAAGTAACTGTGGTTTAAGACGATAGACCGGAGATCTATGTGTATAAATCATCGCAAAATTTTCATACTGGACAAGAATATATTGTATGTATATATGTTTATACTGCAAATTATTGTTTTATGTGCATACAAACACCCTGCCAAAATTTATACATCTTGCACTATGTTATTACTAAACTATTAAAATAATAAAAGTAGACTTGTTGACTAAATAAAAACAATTAAATGAGCAACGAGAAAAAATAGAGTTGACCTTGTCAACTCTGTGATACCCGTACGAATTTGTTATCCTATGTGCGAATAAATAAGCCATGACTGACTATGGGACAGACAATGACTTTAAGTTGCCGTATTATCATATTAATTTATGCAAAATTTCAGTACTGTGTTTTTCAAAATACTGTGTGTGCCAAACTACTATTGGAGTTATATGGCAGCTACCAGAAAGAGCCAAGAAATTTTAACGAATTTTATCAAGCACATCGGCCCTACTAATATATTCGTTTGTGTGAAATTTCAATACCATAGCTTTTATAGTTTCTGAGATATAGTCAAATAACTTTTGAAGTTGTATGGCAGGTACCAGAAGGAGCCAAGTAATTTCAACGTTTTTTATGAGACACATTGGCCCTACTAATATATTCGTTTGTGCGAAATTTCAATACCACAGTTTTTATAGTTTCTGAGGTATAGCCAAATAAATTTTGAAGTTTTATGGCAGCTACCCGAACCGGTACCCCGATCATGTCCAATTTAAATAAGGTTCTGGCACTTACTACAATAAATCATTTGTGAAAATTTGGTGAACTTAGGTCAATTAGTTTTTGAGTTATCGTTGGGACGGACGGACGGATGGACGGACAGACAAAGCTAAATCAACTCAGAATTTGACACTGATCAAAAACATACACTTGAGACTGTATCTAAGACCGTTATTTCTCAGTGTTACAAACGGTAAGGCAAATTTAGTATACCCTTTAAACATACGTTCGTACGGGTATAAAAAGGAATATTCCTTTTCTTTTGCTTTTCTTATGCGTAATTGATGTACATATAACCCCATATCTAAATACATTTGTACTTAAATAAGTATTTAGATAATATAATGTATACATATTATTATAGTAATTTATTTTATATTTTTACAATTTCCAAAAAAATTTACTTTAAAACACTCACTTGCCTAATATGCTATTTTACGTACTTTTGACGTGTGTGTCTACCGAATAATTGAGTTATTTTCTAATAAAATATGACATCTAAAGCAGTTATTTTTTATCTTTTCTATTTTTGAGTGATAAAATTTTATTTAATATGACACACGAAGAGACAGTACAAAGAATATACATATATTCTTTACAAGAGTAAAACTACAACGACAAATATGTATGTATATATTAAAATGGTGGTAGCATGCCAAAAAAATAAATTTCTAAAGAAAGAGAAAGAAGAATTTTGGTTTTTTTATATGTATAATTTAATGTTTATGAAAAACAGAGAAAAATAACAAAACATTATTTAGGATTTCAATGTTGAAGACGAAATAGTGATTTCCTTTCAATTTATATCACTTTAACTTCAACCCATCTTTGGCGATTAGAAAAAAAAATGACCTTTCATAAAAAAACTTCGCTGAATTTACAAAATTTTCATAATTTATTTTTTTTTTCGTTTGTTTTTATTTTATTATGCTTGTATACTTTCCCAAAACCAATTATATAAAAGAAAATCAACATTATACAATAAAAGCGGAAATACCATTAAAAAAGCACTAAATGCTCAAAATTAAATTAGGAAATAACAAGGTAAAAATGCGGAAGGATAATACAAAATATAATACCTGTTATGTATATAGTATTTATAGAAATGGGGTATGACCTATTTACTCGTATATGCACATATTATGTATTAAAGTAAATAATTGTAAAATAACAAAAATAATTATAGCATCCGAGATGAGGAATGAAATTTTGTTTTAGTTTATGGTTTTTTAGAATAATAATAATCGCAGCTGTATGTTTGAATAAAATGTGGTGAAGTAAAATTATATAACAAAGCAACATTTTAGAGGGTAGATCTTTTTGCCAAGAGACTTTTGACTTAGGTAAAAGAACTAGGTTAAATTAGTTGATTTTACTTCAATCTACATTAATTGAGGTTTAGAAAATTTACTAAGGAATTAGTAAAATTGTTTTGACAGCTTTTGTTTAAGTAACTAAATAAAATAGATATTTTAGAAACTATTAGAAATCTTAACAAATTGGTGTTAAATTTAACTCAAGAAATAGTTAGCTCATCCAATAGGTTTTTTATAAAATTTTTCTAATAAAATTTATCCAGAAAAATTTTATGTTATCAAATAAAAGTTACCTTGATAACTTCATTGGCTTAAGAAATATACGTATTTAAAACAATTTTAATTTTATATTTGAAGATTTTCGATGTCTTTAAAGGACATTTTGGCCAAATTGGTAGAACAAAAGTTTCTTGCATCATCATAGGCTATGACGCCACAAAGTACAAGGCACTATCAGTAACCACCCATACACTGCAATTCCCAAAAGTGAAAGAGTTTTATCGAATTTCAACAACTTACCTTTGAAGTGGTATGTAGATGTACACCATATAAAGGACCTGTTTTTACATTTTATAGTCAAGTTTCAATTTGCTCAAACTTACATCTTTTCAAATCCTTTTCCAACATATATAAAATATATAATGTGTTTATGTACCTTTTCATATCTTTTCAATAATTCTTTTTATTTTAATAAATAAGCAATATTCCCTTTTAACTAACTATTTTCGTTTTCTTTTAAAAATTTTTGTTACAGTAAAATTCATTTTTTTCAGAAGACAGGAAGCTGAAATCTGACATCTACATACATGTTTACTACAAACTTATTTCCGGTGAAGAAAATTTTTACATGTCTCTCCCCCTCTAATAGTTATAGCCCATCAAAGTCCTAAAAATTCCATTTTTTAAGTAAGATTGTAGCAACACCAGAAACATTTTTTAAACTATGCGAACGCAAAAAAGTAGTGGCAGACTTCTGCTACCGCCGTATGCTTTAATTGAACTTTACAAAAACAAAATGGTCGTCAAAATTTACCGTTACCTAAAATCAGTTTTTTTCAGATTTTTCATATCTTTTTTTTCTAGACCTTAGGTTTAGCTGCTCTTAGATACTTATAAATAGTTCATTTCGTTAAAAGAAGACTTTTTTCCACCACCACCTCCTCTCAATTTATTGGCTCTCGAAATTTCCAAAGTTTTAATTGTTGGTACCTTATAATTCCGGAACTGCAAATTTTTTCAATTTTTTATTAATGCAGGATGCTAACGGTAATTTCCATGCCATTGAAATTAATTATTTTTCTAACGCAACGAACCCTCAAATTCGAGCATTATGTTAACGTCTCTTTGAATTTTTTTTGTTTTATTTCAGAGATTGCATAGATTGTTCATGCTAAATGTATGCAATTTTTTATATACAGGGTAATTCAGAAAGGTATACAACAACATATACCATTGGTTAGAGGGTTGAAAATGGGTAAAACTTTTACGGAGTAGGTGCGAAATCTCAAGGGTTTTCGAGATACAGGGATTTTAACGAATTTTCACGAAATTTCTAGTTATCTAAGCCTTTTTTGATTATAACTTCCGTTCCGAAAAAGACAAGGGCTTCAAACAAACAGTTCCTGAAAGGTCTAGTAAAGGGCTTAAAATATATCTGATTATGTGTTTTGTATACCTTTGGAATACTAATCATTCGAACATTAGGAAAAATAAAATTTTTCCCCTTTTTTTATTTTTTCAGTTTTTTCTAACCAGGTACTTTCGTTCGAAATTTTTTGAAACTTTGAAATTTTTTTTTACAGAATTTTGGCCACTTTCTCAAACCTTAATTTAAGTCACTAAGTGTTGAGAAATCTTTTATGGTACAGAAGATATAGTACGAAAACCATTTCTATGTCAAGATTTTAAGGGCCCTAGTAAAATGTAAAAAGCCAAAAAAATTACATTATTTTTGATTTTTATTGATTTTAAAAGCTATATTTATCATCTACTATCAATTTCTTAATGCACTATCATTCTAAAAACCGTTAATATTTTTAAGAACCGTTATTTTGATAAAAAATCTGAATTTTATTATTTTTATTGAAAACTTTGTCATATATTAAATTGAATAAAAATATATAAAATTGAATATTAAATAAAGAGATGTTAACACCTCTTTAAACTTATTTTTGCTTTATTTCAAAGACTGCATAAATTGTTCATTGTATTCAAATGTGTGCAATCTTTGAAATAGTTTCGTATATTAATGAAAGTAATTTTAGTAATGGAATATCATTGCTTTGACCCAACTTTTTTTTTTCTTAAAAGAAAAGATGAAAAGAAAATAAATTTAATTTTCATTTTAAGTAAAGCTTATTAAGTGATTTTGAATGGTAATGCAATGATTAAATTATCACCATTCTTCAATAATAAGCTATTATTCATAAAAAAAGTAAAAATAAAATAAAAATTTCCCTTTATATATTTTCATATGTATAGCTATTATGACTATGTGTATACGCTTATATAAAAAGCAAGCAGGAAAACTCAAATTTTGCCAAGTCAAATTTTAAAAATTAAAAAAAAAAGTTACCCAACTGTAACTGATATTCGAAAATCACTTAATAAGAATAAATGAGCTCGAGGAAAGTTAAAAATGTTTTTCTTTCACTAAAATTTTTTAAAAATTTAGCGATATATTTGTGGAGGTAAAAAAGAAAATTTTGTTCTTCTTCTTGCGCTCTTTGCCTACTATTTTCTTTCCTTGCTATATATGTATGTATCATTCATTTATTTTTTTATTTGTTGTTTTCATTTTTCTAGTGTATACGCTGATTAATGGATCCAATTTGCATTTTTAATAGAATGCGCTCAGGTGAAAATTTTAAATGTAAAAAATTGAGTCATTCGAACAACAATATAGAAAAAGCCAATATTAAAGATAAACATAAAAACAAAGAAAAATAAATATAGAATAAAGGAAAGATATTTTATAATTTGCGGTATGGGTTAGTCTTGCCATTATAATATTCAAAATATTAAATGTTTATTACAAATCATAGAGTAATACAGATTCTTCAACTCCTAAATATAATTGTAAATAGGTAACGTATATCAAATATTTTTATTAAAATTAATACAGAAATAGTATAAAGTTTGTAACACAATATGCCAAAAGAAAATAATTTATTTATATCTTTGACGATTTTTTTAATATTAAAGAGTAACTATAATTCAATTAAATGCATTTATGTGTAATAACTACATAAGTATACCAAAAATAAGTAAAAAGAATGAAATTATAATTTAATTTTTCTACTCTTTAATCGATATCATAATCATGAATACACCTCATCATTCAAGGGCACTGCTCAAAAATACATATGTTTGCACATATTGTAGATTGTAGATTCTAAGGGAACCGAGTGGGACAGGAGCATCCCCCCAAGCCACCGCAGCCATTTTTGACTTATTGTAGCCACCCCACTCTCCCGTCTATAATATCCCCGTCCCAATCACAAAGCCGGAGATATCCCTAAGGGAGTTGGACAACAGTTCCCGAACACTTAGGGACCCATGTCCAAGACAATTGCGGCGCCGAACAGCCAGTGCCGGACAGTCGCAGAGAATGTGCACGGCGGTCTCATCGCCACCCCCACAAAATCTGCACAGGGGGGAGCCCGACTTCCCCAGCCTATGCAGGTGGTACTTCACCGGGCAGTGCCCCGTGAAGAAAGTGCGAACCCGGCTCCTGCTCATCCCCAGCAACTCCGCGGCGAATCCGCCGGAGCACGCCGGAAGAAACACCTTCGCATGACGGCACCCTTTCATGTCCCGCCAGTGACGGCCGCATTCCGCCGCGAGTAGGCAGACAAGCCTGGCCCCCACGGCGGAAGAAGGCAGACCGCAGAAAGGCAGCGGCTGCACAAAGGCAGCCCCAGATCCCCTCCGCGCCAACTCATCGGCAACTTCGGCCCGGCACCCAAATGAGCATCACTCTGTTCTCCGATGCCAATTCCATAAGTGCAGCAAGGCAGCTCCAGACCAGCTTGGATGTAACCTGAGCTGAACGGAGCGCTAGCAGTGCAGCCCCGCTGTCTGAGAACACATAGATGGTGCGGTTTCTATACCCCCTTTCCAAATTGATTCTCAGACAGACCTCTATTGCATGTATTTCGGCCTGGAACACTGTCAAGAGTTGCATATATACGCGTGTCCGAGCGGACACCGTATACGCCCGAACCCACACCCGACTCCGTTTTGGACCCGTCCGCATACCACACGCTCGAACCCGACCTAATTACCGGACCACCCCGATCCCACGTCCATCGATCGGGAAACAGAACCCTGTACCTGTGGTCGAAGTTGTACCGCGGCAGACAGGTATCTGACATGGTTATTCTTAGAATCGGATCGCCCTCAATGAAGTCTCTGTGAGTTCTGTGGGTCAACTTTAGCCCTGCCCCGTCCTCGCCAGAGAGAAGTCGGTAAGTCACCAGCCGAGCTTCCTTCAATATATGGAGGTGCAGTGGCGGCAATCCGATCATCACCTCCAATGCAGCGGTGGGAGCCGTCCGCATCGCCCCGGTCACTCCCAGGCAGGCCAGCCTCTGTAGCTTTTCCAGCTTGGCCCGCACACCCGCCTGCTGAGCCTTACGGCACCATACAATCGACGCATAGGTGACAATGGGCCTAGCAAGGGCCGTATGTAGCCACAGTGCTATTCTGGGACTAATTCCCCAGGTCTCCCAGATACTTCACCTCCCCCGAGTAACTAATACGTTCACCAAACAGAATTGGGCTCGTTAATCTGTCTCTACTTCTGCGTCTGGTGAAGGCGACCAAAGTGCTCTTGCTTGGATTTATATTTAACTCAACGCCTTTGCACCACCTTGCCACAACACGTAAATTTTGCTGTAGAAGATCAGAAATAGTGCTCTCAAATTTTCCCCGCACGACGAAGACCACATCGTCAGCGTATCCCCAGACACGCGCCCCGGAGCCCCTGAGAGCAGCGATTAGATCATCCACTACAATGGACCACAGGAGGGGCGAAAGAACCCCGCCCTGCGGACATCCTTTTGCAGCGGAAATGAAGAGTATATCGTCAGCTATGGTGGACTTAATAATCCTATCCTGTAGCATCCGATTAACCCATCTGCTAGTCGTCGCATCAATCCCTCGTTTGTGCAACGACTCACAGATGACATGATATGGGGTGTTGTCAAAAGCTCCCTCTATATCAAGGAAGGTGGCAGCCAACTGCCACCTCCCGTACTTCCAGTGAGTTTTCAAGGACCCCCACCAGACTCTGCAGAGCGAGTACAGTAGACCTTCCCGACTGATAGGCGTACTGAGATTCATGCAAGGGATTGCTTCCCAGCGCACCGTCCCGTATAAATCTATCAATCACTTTTTCCATTGCTTTCAATAGAAAAGAAGTAAGGCTGATTGGACGGAAAGACCTTGGGTGGTTGCTTGGTCGCTTACCCACCTTCGGAATATACGTCACTTTAGCCACCCTCCATGCCTGAGGGATGTAACCCCACACATAGCTGGCACGGAAAATTTCCAACAGTACTCTAGCGATATGTTGGAAACCCCTCTGCAAAAATGCAGGATATATCCCGTCATCACCTGGAGATTTGAAGGGCCTGAAAGAGAAAACAGCCCGTCTAATCCTGCCCATCGTGAAGACTAGACGGGATCGTTGCCAGTCATCCCTCCTGGGCCAGGATGCCCCTGGTTCGATGACTGCATTTGAGTGATTCCGAAGAATCTGCTTTCCGTTCTCAGTCATGGAGCCATCAGGACGTTCCATTAGGCCCAACCCGCTAGCATACTTTTTGGAAAGCACCCTGTGAAGACGCGCACTGCTGGGGAGTTCATCAATGCCCTTGCAGAACGCCCTCCACGAGATTCACTTCGCTTTCCTAATTTCTTTATTGTATTTTGTGAGTGAGTCCTTATACTCTTCCCACGAACCTGACGCCTTGGCCTTATTGAATAGCTTTCTGGTCTTTAGTCTAAGCCTTGAAAGCTCCTCATTCCACCACGGGCACTTCCTATTGCTCCGCCTCGGCTTAGCACGGCAGCTCCCGTGATAGGCATTAGTAATAGCCGCCGTCAGGGCCTCGCTGGCCAGTTCGATATCCATCACCGTTCTGACAGAAGCAGGAACGGATCCAATCCCATCCATGAGGAGCGTTTCGAATTGACTCCAATCTGTGGATTGGGGCACCCGATAAATTTCTTCTGCCAGGCCCCCGGAGACCATGATATCAAACCTAATCTGCCTATGATCGGACATGGATGTCTCATTTGAGACATGCCATCCACTAACCCTAGTGCCGATAAATTCAGTGCAAAGGGTGATGTCAAGGATCTCTTCCCTAATTGCATTTATGAATGTCGGCCTATTGCCCTCACTCATAATCATTAATTTATTGCTATATATAAATTCAAGTAGGCACTCACCTCTTTTGTTTATATTGCTGCTTCCCCAGACGGTGTGGTGGGCATTGGCATCACTTCCTATTATAAGTTGGAAGTTCCTCCTTCCGCAAAAGTCCACTAGATCCTTCAGTTGCTCGTCCGGGTGGGCACAGTCCCCCGGGAGGTAGGATGAGCACACAATGAACTCTGTCCAACCCCCGCAGGACTTCACCTTCACCAACGCAGCTACTTGATCCTTAGAACAGTAATCTGGAATGGGAAAATACGTTAGCCTTTTACTAAACAAGATGCAAGCCCTAGGCCTGCCCCCAGTTGTATTATCATACAATAGCTCACCTGTTAGGCCCTTAACCTGATCCTTCACTATGTAAGGCTCTTGGATAAGAGCGATATCGAGGTGATCCTTCATAAATCTATGAGCCAGAACATCAGTAGATGCCCTAGCATGCTGTAGATTTATTTGGATGCACCTCACAGCCATATTATTTCCTCCGGCTCTTGTCTATGGGCTTTGGCCCTTTAGACAAAGGCTTTACATGAGCCTTACCTCCCATTGCCGCCTTTTTACACATCTTGGTGGGCGCCTGCCCTGCTACAGCCTCTTTTGCCGTCCCAGGTGCCACGCTAGCCCCTCCAACAGCAAATACGGAAGCAGTTCCGGGCTTCCCAATGGGCTTGAGCCCTTTTGGTTCCCCCGGGACGCTTGTATTTGGCGTGCTTGTCGATGGTCCTTCCGTTTCCCTTGCCGCCATTTTCGGAGCGACTTCAGACTTTCCAATGAGTTTTGGCTCTTTTGGTTGGCCTGAAGTGCTCGTCGTTGTCGCGGTGGGCACTGGTTTTTTATTTTGTCCTGCCCTGCCGCCAGCACCTTGAGAGGATTTTCTTCCTTTAACCCGAACGGTAACACGGAAGAAATTCAGGAAAAGTCGGAACTCCGCTTTCCGTAGATCTTCCAATCCGGAATCATCCACGGAAAAGGTGATGGAGCAGCCCCCGTCCTTTTCCTTATCCATCCTCAGCACCCTCCAGGAATTTATCTTGAGGCTGGGATTTTGCTTCCCTATCCTACTTAGAAATTTGTCCCTGGAGAGACTGACGGTTGTCTCGTCCTTTGGTACGCTGCAGTGAATTGTGGATGAGAGTCCACAACCCTATCCATTTCATCCATCCATGATGGCTACTTTGATTTTCTCCATCTGGACTTCGGATAGCCTTTCCTCTGGATGCAGTCTATGAGTGATGGCCACCTTGACCTGTGCTACTGCATCCCGATAAGAAGTCATTTTCGGGTTTTGTTGAGGAATGTTCCCAGGGACCTTTTCCTCAACATTGCCCTTCATCGACCTCTTCTTTGAGGAAGCATCAGGGGTGTTGCTTTCCGACCTTTCCCTCTTTTGGGGATGGTCGGCCACAGCACCCGATCCGCAGGCTTTCAGCTTTTCCAGCCTTTCCTTCTCATATCTGCGAGCTTCCTCTGTGGACATGCCATCCCTGATATAAGCCGCGATACGCCGCTTGGATGCACCAGAGAAATATTGTTTTTTTTCCCCTGATGTCCAACCTTTTCAGGCCCTCCTCAGTTTTTTGGATAATAGGTCCAAGAGGATTCTGATTATCCGTCTCCATCGGAGGCGCCGCCTTTTCCTCCACTGGCGTGAGAAGGAGTTCCTCCTCTGCGTCAGTCAAGAGAAGCTCTGGTTCCGAAGACCCTTGAGCACTAAGTGGTTGTATGTTGTCCTTAGTATTGCCGTTGCTGTTGCAACTGCCACTGTTGTTATCGTTGTTGTTGTTTCCCATTTCTGGTCCCACGAGTAGCGCGGGAAAGTAAAGTCACCCATGGCAGAGCCCGGCATACCATGGGAAGGCTCGTTTAAACTGGAGGGCGCCTGGTATCCAGAGTCCGCATACTAACGACTAAGCTCCCCCTTAGCCACGCAGTCATCGGCATATGCTGTTCCACCTTGACTTGGGACGCCTGTCGTCAGCTGACGTATAGATATAGGGCTGAAACTCACAAAACAAGAGGCTTGCCGCGAGACATGACCACGACACGAACGTAACTTTGATCGTTTCAATCACCCCTTTATCCTTCGCCATTACCGCGGCCCACCACTAGGAGGTGACAGTGCGGTTTTGGGTTTGCACATATACTAAACAAAATTTTATGCAGCCAATTTAAAATAAAATTATAAAATCGGTTTTATGCATTATTGTTAGGGTATTTCACACACCATATTCCATGCGATTATCTTGAAGAAACGTGGGGTGTAAAGTCTCATTAATCTGATACGAGAAAAAAATTAATATCTAATGAATAAGCAATGTGCATAACAATTTTTTTTTTTTAATTTTATATCCAGAATACGTAAATAAAAAATTTTTTAAGCTTTTCTTTATTTATTGCAGTTTTTAAATTAAAAATTTTCCCCTAATTACAATTTTCTTTTTAAATTACAAAGTTTTGTAGTTGTTTAAAATGTGAAAATCTCTTAAACTCCTTTCTAATTTTACTTTCTGCTCTGCACTCTTTTTATTTAAAAACTAAAACACTTTTTGAATTCTAACCTAAACTTAGATGGGAAAATCTTTTGACCATAATATGTCAACATAGTATAATTATAATTTTGTTTATTATGATGGCGATAATATACTTGCTATTCATGGAGTTTATTTATTATTCAAAATGTTGTTCATAAATAAAAACTTGTTTAATTTAACATGGTAACCTAAATTTATTCTGGGAGTATAAAGTGTATTAAGTACTCGTGCTTCCTTTTGTGCTTTTATAATTCCTTAATAAGAATTTTTACCTCGGAAGAACTACATACATATAGTTATTCTTTGGTATTAAATAGTATATCCTTAAAAGCTGTTTTCTCTTATTAAAATTTTATGTCAAACAGAAAAAAGTGACTTTTTAGAGCTTTTAGGTTAGAAACCTGTTTTCTTTTTTTTTTTAAAGATAATAAAGTGTTAATTATAGTTTTTTTTTAATTTTTGAATATTTTGTTTCTAATTTTTGAAGAATTAAAATTAATATTTCTCACAATATTTATGAGATTTTTAAACTCATTGAACACAAAGTTTAAGTTAAACGTTTGTATACATAAAATATTTTAATTAATCATAAAAATGTTTATAATTTTCAACATTTGTAATGTAACCTTTTTTGATATAACTAAAGTATTGAATTTAACTTTAATTTTTTATGCTTTATAATTATTATTTTTAAAGTTAATGTTTTTTTTTAATGTTTTTCCTTAATGAATGTGACAAATTGAAAAATTTCGATATTTGTACTCGAGGTACTGGACGTTTTCCAGGTACAGATGAATGATCGTTTCTAACAAATTTGTATGAAATTCTCTACGAAAGTTCCGTTTTAAATTTTAAAAATTATATTAAGCAAAAGCTTTATTTTTATCATCAAAATAGATTGATAGATTTATCATAAAAATTTTAGAGTGGTGCAGAAGGACCCCCCTCACCCACCGCAGCCATTTCTGACTTATTGTAGTCTCCCGACGCCCCTGTAATATCCCCGTCCTAAGTATAAAGCTGAAGATATCACCAAGAAAGTTGGACATCAGTTCCTTAACTTTTAGGAAACCCTATCCAAAACCATTACACTTTAAATTTGTTAGTCGGACAAATCTTTACGAAAGTAAGGACATGAAATACTATCAAAACTAAGTTTAATGTATTTGTAAAATTGTTAAAATTCTAAATGGGTAAAACCTTTCTTGGGATATTAGCTGGGATATAACATTTCCAAAGAAAAATTTGACAGTCATTTGTCTAATTATAGGTCACAAATATCCTGAAAATTTTTTTGGGAATGGCTTAAGAGTCTCGGGTAACTACCATAAAATTCCAAAAGCTAATTTTAAATATTGAGAAAAATAATAAAGTTAGATTCATAAGACTTGACAATCACGTGTCCAATAGTATTTTATTGAATTGAACAGAGTTTTTATTAAAAGTCAATATTTTATTTGTTTTTGTAAACGATGCATATTAGACTAAACACAAATAAATCGGACAAAATACAAACACAGATAAAAAAATTTAAGTATTTTTTTAAAAAAACCTGTAACTTGGAGACAATTTAATTTTTCTATTTTTAATCCATTTAGAGATTTAGTTCTGCTCCATGCGGCGTATGCCTGACCAGGTTGAAAAAGTTTACTTCCTAAATATACAACCCTTTTGCTACAGATCTTCCCCAGGTCTTTTTAGGGGACCAGGCTCATTAACTTTTTTGTAGAAACTTTCAAAAAATTTCTCTATATTGAGGGACTTCCCGTGAAAGTTCAAAGCACAGCGAAACCTTTCCAACGGTACTCCACTTGATCGTTTTCGCCTTCTTAAGACCTAGCCGTATTTACAACCTCAATTTTCACCTAACGACCCATTTTATTGATTTGACCCGAAGGGGTTAAAGTTCAGAACACACCGTAATCTCTTCAGCTGTGCCACAATTCACTATATAAGGTCCTTCAATTTTCGTCTTCTTAGAAGGGCTAGGACTTTAACATGAACGATCTTCAAGTAGGACTCTAGTAGAATCGATTTTCAGAACTTTTCAACAGTATCCCACTAGACTGCATTTAGTCTTTTTTTTGAGTTTAAAAATTTCTAAAAATTTCTTATTTCTGAATAAACAAACAAGAAACGAAGTTAATAAAAACGTAGTAAAAATAATAAGTATGTAATTACATATACATATATAATTACATATGTAATTGCATATGTGTACATAGTACAAAAAAAAATATTCATTTAAGTTTCGTTAAATATTTTTTGTTCGAAAAAAAAAGAAATGTCGGATATACATCATTTTGTTTTGACTTATCTATATTATTTTGACTGCAATCTATTGTGGGCCTAAAGGTTCTAGTTATTTATAAGAGTTATACCAGAAAAATAACGGATTTTGTAATAAGTATAGGTTCACCCTATTTTTAATGCTTATTTTTTACAGTTTTACACTTTTTCTGAAATGCATGTTTTTAAGGGGTTTGTTGTTATTCAATGATAATTCAACAGAGGAAAATAGTGAATGCGACACCACTATAATGAGTCTATTATATTTGTCGAATCCCGTATGGCTGGCATATATACAAACGCTGTTGATTACAGATTTGGATTGCGATAAACCTAAAACAATGTCAAAAATATGACGCTAAAGGTATATCTGCACTGTAAATGGCTACATGGCTGCTAAATTTCATGCACTTAGGTTTATTATTTTCTCGAATATTTTGATTTAGCTTTAGGAGTTATATTAAACTTGTTTTTTAAACTGATCCAATTACAATAGCAGCCATCCTAGGCCGAAAAGGAAAAATTGTGAATGTTTGTTGGTATTTACATTATTTGTTTTTGAGTTGATGAAGACGAACAGACAGATACGGATAAAGTTAATATACCTTACACGAAGATTTGAGTATAATAACAAGCAGCAACTTAAACAAAATTATAACTACATAATTGTGCAATAATAAAATATTTTAATAATTTGTTTTTGTTTTAATATTCGCCTACTAATAATTTAATTTACTTTTTTTATTCGTTTGCAGAATTCAGAACTCACAATAAGTATTCAACATGGAAACGAACAGCTATTGCTTTAGTTGATTATTCTAGGAATGCTTGAAAAAGAATTATAATGAAATATAAATAAACAAGAAAAGGAAAATAAATCAATTATAATGAAAACTACAGCAAGTAATCTAAATAGATCATTAAAAATGAACAAAACAAAAAACAAAAATATAAAAATTTAATATGGTTATATTTTTTTTTAAACTGCATACATGAAGTAACCTAGTGCATGAGTAAAAAATAATAATAAATATAAAATCAGAATCAGAAGAAAGAAATATACATTCTTCGATTGTTAAAAATTAAGATGAATTAAGTACATATAAAAGCTTTTACATGTATTATATATTATATAAAATTTATAAGACGAAAATAATCAAAAGTTACATAAATAGTTCAAATAATACTGGAAGCCACATAAGTAGGTAAAAACAAAAGGGAAAGTCTTCGAATGTGAAATCCCCGTTATATTTGTTGAGTAAAACATTATATTATGTTGAAACAAAAAAATTATTTATAATGAAAATTTTGTATATATCAAAATAGGATCAGAAGAGCATAATGAAAAGAATAATAAAAGTAAATTATGATAGCATCTAAATCTGTTGTTTAAAGTAAAAAAAATATGACACAGTTAAATCTTTTTAAATTAACTTTTTAATTTATTTAAAAACAAAGTTAAATAAATTAGACAAAGTAAAAAAACCTAAAAATCCTTAAAAATAATGATTTTTAATTTATAAATAAAATTAAATTAAAAAAACCAACAAAATAAAACAAAATTTAAAAGTAAAGCAAGAAAATATATATTATATCTTAAATTTTATCGAATCAAATTTATAAAACAAAAATCTTGTTTATCTTTAATTATCTTATTAGCGATCTTCAAAAGATAAGAAAAGGTCAAAAGCATCTTTTATCAACAGCCCACCTAAATTTTAATTAAATTTCAATTAAATTGAATTTGCTATGTTTTAAATCTATTTGTTTTTTAAGCCCGCAAAAAGTAGTAAAAACATACTTCTTTCTACATTATCTTAATAAATAATAAAATCTCGTATATAACGTATGTACATAATTTACGAAATACATAAGAAGGTATCACGAACATCTGATACCTTCTGATAAAAAACAGCAACACCAAACATAAAAAACGAATTTCCGTTATATTGCATACGTTGGCGTTAAATTGGTTTAGACTGATAGAAGAATAGAAAAAAAAGACGAAATTTGTAGTCGATCGATTTCTTCAAAAGGGTCGTAGTCATCATCAAGAAATATAAATCAAGAGAATCAAACAATAATAAAAATCAAGAGAACAAGAATAAACAATAAAAATCAGTTAAAAGACGAATTCATCTATACTCATATTAATATGAAAAAATAATAAAACTACTCTTTTCAAAAGAAGATTCTGAGAATAACCTAAACGAAAAAAAAACTTCTCATCAATAAAATCTTACGTGTGCTTATACATATTGTTAAATACAAATTTTTATTATTACTTGGAGTTTTTACTTTGTTTTGATGCCCTTTTGATTTCCTTCTTTCTTCTGTTGAAGCATAATAATTCATACTTGTTATATAGTCATATATGTACACATAATACAAATATTACAAAAAATATAAAGAATATTTCGAAATATACAAGAGCAAACAAAAATAAAAAAAACATAAAGACTGGCGTATAGATAAATGAAATATGTAGGCATTTTTAACTTTATTGAAAAGGCTCAAACTAACACAAAAAGGAAAAACTGAAACAAAACTGAATAATAAGAGTTTGTAAACTAACAGAGGAAAGGAATTAAAAGGATACATCTAACAAAAAAAACAAAGTCGTGCATTATAAAAAGTAGAAAAAAAATCGGAAGCATGTAAAAGGATATTCAAGTTTTTATATACGAGTTTTTTTATTTCGATTTTTCAATGTTTTTATATGCTGGAATTATGTTGACTGCTCATCTAATATGGAAAGAACATTAAAGAAAGAACATAATTCACAACAAAAAATTCTTTTGTTGAATTGGTGATGACCGCTAAACGTCGTGGTGATCAGTTAAGGGACTGCTCTGTAAAATTACCTTTGGATATTCTGTAAGTTTTCTTGCTATACATATTTATTTTTTTGCGAAATATTATAGATGTTTTTGCCTTCTGATAAGCACCCTGTAAATAACTGGAGAGGTAGAATAGAAACAAAGGTTTAGGGTGAAAAGCTCCAAAGTTCAAAGTTTAGGGTGAAAAGCTTCAAAGAACTGAATTAGAATTTTCGGGTCTAGAATAGGAGCCCGCAAACACGTTGTATGGGTTACCTCAAAAAGAAGCTTTAAAGAATTTTTAGCAAATATATTCAGATCGTCATATTGTTGGCTACTGTTCGTCTAATGAGCAGTTACTTAACAAAACGTAGATCCGCGGCTATACAAATATTTTTGAAGATACAGTTCTTAAAATTAGAATTATAAAGTTTTGAAATCTCTACTTTTAATGTGTATACAAAGCGTTGAAAGATTTGCAGTTCTAACCATAAGAGCTGCATTTTCAGAAATACCCAAACTAGTTAGAATATGAAGGTGGCATCGTTACAAAGGTAAAAATTAATAGATGTTTTTACTGTATTTTTATACCCGTACGAACGTATGTTCGAGGGGTATACTAAATTTGCCTTACCGTTTGTAACGCTAAGAAATAACGGTCTTAGACATAGACTCAAGTGTATGTTTTTGATCGGCGTCAAATTCTGCCAGAACCCTATTTAAATTGGACATGATCGGTTAAAGTTGTGGTATTGAAATTTCACACAAACGAATATATTAGTGGGGCCAATGTGTATGATAAAAGTCGTTGAAATTACTTGGCTCCTTCTGGTACCTGCCATACAACTTCAAAAGTTATTTGGCTATATCTCAGAAACTATAAAAGCTATGGTATTAAAATTTCACACAAGCGAATATATTAGTAGGGCTAATTTGTTTGATAAAATTCGTTAAAATTTCTTGGCTCCTTCTGGTAGCTGCCATACAACTTAAATAGTAGTTTGGCACACACAGTATTTTGAAAAACACACAGTACTGAAATTTTGCATAAATTAATATGGTAATACGGCAACTTAAAGTCATAGTCTGCCCCATAGTCAGTTATGGCATCTTTATTTGCACATAGGATAACAAATTCGTACGGGTATCACAGAGTTGACAAGGTCAACTATATTTTTTTTCTCGTTTTTAATGAAATTTATTTTTATTTATACATAGAACAGATCACATATGTACATATTTTATATTCTATCTAGGGACTGTCTCAAGAGTTATATACATAAATTCAAATGTACTCATTATATAGAAAAAAAAATCTGATGTGGTCAGCACATAACCGACCGCATTGTGCATTGTCTAGTTAAGTGAAAGTGTTACAGAATATTATAAAAATGTCTGTTAAATACTTCTTTGCAATTTTTAGGACATTAGTAAGCTTATAGTTAACATACTTAGAAAAATGTAAATTTGGCTCTTAGTAGAGTTTCGCTTTGTGCTACTCGAATTCCCTGAAATGCTCGCCAGTTAGTTTCGGTAACAACCAGAACTCAAATATCAAATTTCAAGAAATTCCATCAATTTGTTCTGTGGATATGGTGAAAAATGTAAAATCGGCCCGCAAATCAGTTCTCGAGCCCTGATCTTTCCAAAAAAGTTATATGTTCATTGCTTTAATAGTTTAATATGAGGAATTCATATATTAAATTTCAATGAAATCGGTTGATTATTTCTCTTTATATACACAAAAGTGTATATTTGGCCCGTAGTAAACGTCTAGTTGCCGATGCCTGATTTTTTCCAAAATATACGAATTTTTGCGGACGGTCGAGCTGAGCTTATATATAAAATTTCAAGTAAATCGGTTGAATATTTTCTTCAAAATGTTCAAAAATGTAAAACAGGCCCGCTAAAAAGTGCAGTTCCCGAGGCCTGATATATACCAAAAGTTGATCGATCCGTACCATGGTGGAAACAAACTTACATATAAAATTTCATCAAAATCGGTTCAGCCGAACTTGAGATACACGCGTGCACACACAGACCGACAGACCGACAGACCGACAGACGGACAGACGGACAGACCGACAGACCGACAGACCGACAGGTTGCTAAAAATAGTTTATTTACACTTCCCTACTATGGAGAAGTACGTTCCCACCGAAAACTCGATATGCAAAATTTGTTGCCATCACATAACCTACCTATTGTTTACACAATACGGTCGGTAAATATAGGCCAACTCTGTAAAGTTCTGCACATAATTTTTAAGGAATTGCATTGATTTGACGACATGATTATCATCTGGCACGTAAATTAATATATATGTATATATATATATATATATATATATATATATATATATATATATATATATATATATATATATATATATATATATATATATATATATACAGGGTGATTCAGAAAGGTATACAATAACATATACCATTGGTTAGAGGGTTGAAAATGGGTAAAACTTTTTTTCCGGAGTAGGTGCGAAATCTCAACGGTTTTCGAGATACAGGGCTTTTAACGAATTTTCACGAAATTTCTATAGTTATCTAAGCTTTTTTGATTATAACTTCCGTTCCGAAAAAGATAGGAGCTTCCTTTGTATTCAGAATTATATTTTTATTTTTAAACTCTTTTTTCCTAATTTTATTTATCTCTTAAATATTAAGAAATATTATGCTCATAAACTGCAAAACCAATATATAATTTTTTAATTATATATAGGAGGAGCTTCAAGCTACATTTTATTAGGGCCCTTAAATTCTTGACATAGAAATAGTTTTCGTGCTATATCTTCTGTACCATAAAAAATTTTCAGCACTTAGTGGCTTAAATTAAAGTTGGGGAGAGTGACCAAAATTCTGTAAAAAAAAATTCGAAGTTTCTAAAATTTTTCGAACGAAATTATCTGATTAGAAAAAACTGAAAAAATAAAAAAGGGGAAAAATTTGATTTTTCCTAAAGTTCGAACAATTGGTATTCCGAAAGTACACAAAATACATAATCAAGCAAGATGTTTATTTTAAGCCCTTCACAGGACCTTTTAGAAACTGTTTCTTGGAAGCTCCTATCTTTTTCGGAACGGAAGTTATAATCAAAAAAGCTTAGATAACTAGAAATTTCGTGAAAATTCGTTAAAATCCCTGTATCTCGAAAACCCTTGAGATTTCGCACCTACTCCGGAACAAAAGTTTTACCCATTTTCGACCCTCTAACCAATGGTATATGTTATTGTATACCTTTCTGAATCACAATGTATATATATATATATATATATATATATATATATATAATTAAAAAATTATATATTGGTTTTGCAGTTTATGAGCATAATATTTCTTAATATTTGAGAGATAAATAAAATTAGGAAAAAAGAGTTTAAAAATGAAAATATAATTCTGAATACAAAGGAATTGTTGAAATAAAGGATAATGTATGTATATATATATGTATATATATTACCTTAAATTGTATATAGATATGAATTTAGGTTCATGTGAAATATACATTAGGTGAAAGTGTTATAAATTCGAATCATGAGGATTTGATATGTCAGGGAATGATATCCGCCACAAGTTTAGCGCTTTTTATTTTAATGGTGAGGCTCAACGTGCCTTTGATACTCTGGAAATTCTCTTATCGTGCTATTTTGGCTTACTTGGATTATTTCGAACCTTTTCTAGTACACTAGTCAAACGCAAGTCATTCAGGCGTAGGTGCTATTTGATTCAAATTCCATTGATGTAACTAGTGTAACGGGTACAATTATTGACACTCTGAAAATTCGGTACAGTTATTGACAATCCAATTAATATAGCGCTTTTCCAGTATTTAGAATTATTAATTACAAAAATTAATTGTGGATTCTAATTATTTGGCATTTTCTTCATTTATTATACAATAAATTTAAATTAATTGGCAGGCTTTTAAATTTAAAAAATAAAAAAGAATATTGCAAATTTATTATAGGCAAAAAACATACTGAATTTTAGTAATTTTTAAAGTTGCTTCGATAATGCTAATGTAACTTGTGTATTTTTTGAATAAATAAGTTTTTAATTTTATGTTTATGAATTAAAAATTATAAAAAAATAATTATCTAAATACAGATAGATAAATATAGTTAAGATACTAGAAGTAATGAATTTAAGATAAGCTTTTTGTTTGTTTATAATTAATTTACAATAGTTATTTACAACAATTATTTTTAATTCATTCTATTTTAAGACAAAAACAATTTTAAAGACAAAAATTCCAGTAGTAATTGAAAATGAATTGTTTAATGAACTATATAAATTTAAAGTATTATATTTATAGCAGTGTAGTCCGGCACTGGTGTCGAAGCTCTCAGAGTTTGATTCAGAATAACCATAAAAGTCGCGAAACGATTGAAGCTAGAGAAACGTGTTGTTTGCGCCGGTATTTGGAGCTAACAAATCTCCATAACGGTAATGTTAAAGGTTGATGTCAGAAATTAACGAATTCTAGCAATAATTACTTAAACGTGAAATTTTGAGTTAAAAACAAAAAATTTTGCGAAAAGCGTTAATTACCTCAAAAACGTTAATAATCTCAACTAAGTTCGCTAATTTTTTTAGTTTTTATTATTATTTCGACATGCTACAACATCCTGTACAACATGGTGATACATAATTTTTATACCATACGTAGCGTTTGTCAAGTAAAGCAATAATTACATCAACAAATTTTTCCCTAAACAACTCCACAAAAATATCCGAAGACAGCTTTGACACCATTTTCTAACAACCCAGCACAGCAAATATAACAGATGTATCTATGTGCAATTTAAAATAAATGTTATTATTAACACTAATAAAAAATATAATGCGGACTTTTTATACAAATATGTATACATATGATATCCTTAACACTCATGTATAAGTGTATAAAATATATACATATGTACATTAAAAAACAAATATTTATACGTACATAGGGTACAATTAAATATTGTTATCTCAAGGACATACGTTTATTTATTCCTTGATTGACGTAAATAAAACTTATTTTTTAAATGTATTACGA